AGGATGCCTCACACTATAGAATGCCACCACCTCACAGTGTAGGGCATTGCTGCCTCACACCATCAGGACTGTGTTGCCTCACACTGTAGGATGCCACCACCTCACACTGTAGGATGCCACCACCTCACACTGTAGGATGATGCCACCTTACACTGTAGGACACTGCCACCTCGCACTGTAGGACACTGCCACCTTGCACCATTGGACACTGCCAGCTCACACTGTAGGATGACGCCATTTCATACTGTAGGACACTGCCACCTCATTCTGTATGATGCTGCCACCTCACGCTGTAGGATTCTGCCACCTCACACTGTAGGACACTGCCACCTCATGCTGTAGGATGCCACAACCTCACATTGTAGGATGATGCCACCTCACACTGTAGGACAATGCCACCTTGCACTGTAGGATGACACTACCTCACACTGTAGGATGACGCCACTTTGCACTGTAGGATGACACCACCTTGCACTGTAGGATGCCACTGCTTCACACTGTCAGGACTGCACCACTTCACACCATCAGGACAGCCACTACAGAACCCCCCACCAAGGCCCTTCTCTGCACCGGGACCCAATCCAGGATGCATTTAATCCTCATGGTCCCAAGGTAGACAGTACTTCAGTCTTTACCGTCTTTGTAACTCTGACACTTGTAAGAATGCTGCTCAGTTGTTTGGAAGAACGTTTCTCCATTAGGGTTTGTCTGAAGCATCCTCACAATTAGACTGAAGGCATGCATCTTTTCAACATAACAGGAATGATGTGTGTCCTTCTTGGAGCCCCTCTTGTGCACAGATCTCTTCTCTGTGAGTACCCTCTACTTCCTGCCCTTTATTTCACCTCTGCCTCCTACACTCCAGGTTGTGGGACAGTGGCCTGGAGAGTGCTGCCACAAAGGCCACGGCCCCCAGGGGCTCACCATGCAGCCTTCCATCAGATGATTGTCCACATGGTCAGGTCACCACCCCCATGGTCAGGTGCTCACTGGTTAGCTGCTGTGTCTCACACTGAGCCTGGTCTCCCACTGGTTATAGGGCAGGGGGCTGGCACCAGCCTCCACATGGCCTCGCACAGGGGCCTTTAGGTCTCTGGGGTCAGAAGAGCTTTAGGTCTCTTTAGGTCTCTGGGGTCAGAAGAGCTTTAGGTCTCTTTAGGTCTCTGGGGTCAGAAGAGCTCAGTGCCCTGGACAGCTGGGCCTGCCATGGGCATGGAGGATGAGCCTTTTCCTTCCTCTCTGCTTAGTACCCTCACCTGGTACCTGTGGGGATCCCCCCAGGACTGGGTCTGAGGAACAGACCCAGCTGTCAGGGTGCTTGAGACATAGCTGGGCCACAAAGTCACAGGTGCTGGTTTCTAATTGAACCCGCAAAGAGCACAGCGTGGGGCTTGGGGTCCTGCCCACCTCCCCACCAGCTCCATCTACAGGGCAGTTCCGCCTGCCTGCCAGCATCTGCCATATTTTCTCCCACCTCATAACAAATGGACATTTTGCTGCTGTCATTCTTTTTTATCAGTCAGCTCGATCTTCCTGCTCTCCACTGAAGATTAAAAATATCCAACATAAGACGATATCAGGTAATTATACCTTTTAGTGCACCTGATAATTTTTTATCCAGCTGGCACTAACAGTCAATCAAAATGCCATAAAAGGTGCTCTGAATGTGCTAATGATTCACTGCGTTCTGTCAGGCATCGTGGGAGTTTGTTCAACTCTTGGCATCATGAACCTTGCACAAAACAGTCTGACAGCTTCTCCACAGAGCTTGGTTTCTCCACACAGGGCTTGGCTTCTCTACAGAGCTCAGCTTCTTCATAGGGCCAGGGTGTTCCACAGAGCTAGGTTTCTCTACAGAGCTGAGCTTCTCTATAGGGGTGGGTTTCTCCAAATGGCTAGGTTTCTCCACAAAGCTGGGAAACTCCCCAGAACCCAGCACCATCACAGGGCTGTGCTTCTCCACAAAGCAGGGTCACTCCACAGGGTTCACCTTCTCCATAGAGCTGTGCAACTCCACAGAACTGGGATTCTCCGCAGGGCTGGGCTTTTCCGCCCTGGTCTTCACCTTGATGCTGCTTCACCTAACCTGAACAGTAGTTCAGATAAAGTCCTTTGAAACAGTTAATACATTTTATGCTTATTAAGGGAGGGAAGAATCTAGTCTTGGATGGATGAGGACCTGCTAAGAATATCTGTGCTGTGATTAGAGACAACTAAGATTTTCAACATTTCACTAAAGGAACCATGAAAACATTTCCTATCTTATTAACTGGAAAAATGCATTCATACTTTACTGTGGGGTCTGAGAGGTCACTTCCAGTTATCTTTGGCCACTCTCCTCCTACCTGGGCTTGAGTGAGGCACCACAAAGCTCCCAGCTCTGCCAGCCCCTCCCATGTACTGCTGCAGCCCCATGTACCCTGGGGCTGGCAGGAGGCAGATCTGGGTCCCCAGCCCCAGTGAGCAGCTTTAGGTCAGCCACTGGGTAGGTAGACATGGTAGGTCTCACCCTGCTGCCTCCGGCTGCCTCCAACACCATGCCTGGGCACCCCACCCACCTGAGCACTGCAAGGCAGCTAACTATGCACAGTCACCATGCCAGGTGGTGTGAAAGCAGGTAAGTGAGATCCTGGGAACTGGGCGGCTTTTGATGCTAACGAGGTCAAAACCACAAGGATCTAGGGCAGCAATGAAAGGTGATCAAGCCATCAGGTGTGCCCTGGCACCTTGCCACCCATAGGGACCACCTGTGTCTGCTCATGTGAAGTGTTCTTGTCACTCCCTGGCTGCCGGGGCTGCTGTGATGTCCTCGGGGCAAGAGCACCTGGGGGTCAAGACCCATGTGCTGTGGATACAGGGAGGAAAAGGGGAAAGCATCAGCCCACCTCACATGGGGGTGAGGGCCCCACGGAGGAAGCCCCATTCTGGGGGTCTGCTATGCTGACACCGGGACTGCTGAGACTAACTCAGCAGCTCTTTTTGAAGGAGCAGTGGGCCTGACCCTGGGAAGGTGTCGGGACCCTCACACCCCACACCCTTAGCCTGTCACTCCCTTTCAGGGCAAATGTTCATGCAGCTTTGCTTAGGGCTGGTGGTGCGAGGGGTGCAGGTCCCAAAGGGATAGGCTGAAAGGGCCACAATGAGTGATGAGGGCTCCCAGGGACAGGTACACCATGTTGACAGCCCTAGGCGGCTCTTCATAGAGAACTTCATCCCAGTTTGGGTCGTGAGGAGTCTGTGGTCAGTGCAGGTGACATGGGCCCACAGCACCTCAAGGTATATCCCAACATAGGCCAGGACTAGGGGGGGAAACTGTGGGACTCTTCAAGCCAAAGCTGAGGAGATGTGGGGTGACTGTATAAGGTCCTGTGTGACAGCTACTCCAGGGCCAGGGCCATTCTGACTCTCCCTACTTATACAGGGCCCCCACCTGCCTCAAGGCCTTAAACAAACATGCTTAGAGAGCATATCTGCATGAAGTTTCCAGTATAAAACATTAAAGCTTTATAATAATTCTAGCAGAAAAATTAAGATAAAATGAACAGAGTGAGAAGTGAAAGAGTAAAAGTTGCCAAATTCTCTGCTTAGGGCAGTTAAAGAAGGACTTCAAAGTTCAAGGAATGTCTTGGAAACCTTAAAGGTAACCAAGGCTGGGATTAAAAGCAGGACGGGTGTACTTCCTCCACTGTATATCTCCAAGGACCAGAAAAAGCGGAAGATGGATGCAGATGGAGCAGCCCCTGGGCCAGGCAGAAGGCATGTGCAGCCAGTAAGTCCATTCTAGATTCCAGCACAGTATCTGTACAAAGCCTGCTTTTATGTACATAAGAGACACACATAAACCCAAATAATCTGGTAGTCAAAAGACGGAACAGACCGGCCCTCCCAGCGTGACAGTCACAGATGACACATATATGATTTGTACACCCAAATGTGAGGCAATTCGCCTGCAGTGGCAGGTGACTCTTACACTTTACAAACAATCTTTGCAACGTCAAACATTCTAGAACCCGTGCTGCTCCCCGAGAGGTTCCTAGCGAAATGGGCCCTCCCATGTAGGTGCTTCCTACAGAAATGGACTGAACCCAGCAGCAAGAGAGGTTGAATTCCCAAGTGCTCAGCAGGTCACTGAGGGAGGCAGAAGGACACGCAGCTGGTTAGGCTGGAGCGAAAGAGGACAGCAAGCCACAGATCAGTGCAGGGGGCCACATCCCTGCTTCTCCTGGAAGCTGCAGGGCCCAGCAGGGCCACGGGCATGTTTCTAGCACATTACCTCCCAAAGGTCACCAATCACAGATCTACTTACTGCTCCAAGCATGATCCTGAACACCAGCCACCGGAAGCCCCATAGGACAACCTGGGATGTGGGCGTGTGCTGGGGCAGTGGTGACAAGGTCCACAGTGGGCACAGAAACACCCCTAGGAACCCTGTTTCCAGAAGCTGGGACTCCCATCCTGAAACGACAACCATGAGAGACACAAAGGCAGTGTTAGCGGAAGCCAGACTACGCACAAAAACCCCCTCCACAAACTCAGTTTAACAAAAACAGACCTTCAAACAGGACTGAGCTGTGAATGAGGCACGACAAATCCCTGTGTCATTCTGAATGGCAGTGAGCATCTATGCAGGACACAAGAGCGTCCAGAGGTAGGGGCTTTGGGTACAGGCCTCTGGCACCCTTTACCCCTGGAGCAGGAGGCCCTCTTGACACTCTGAGGATGATGTGCAAGTATGACTGGGTCCTGAGCACATGCTGCCCATGGCAGCCGAGGGCCCTGCCTGTGGGCTTGAACATGGAGCTTCAGCTCTGCACACCCCTCTCTAAGGACTGCCCATTCAGACAGACCCGTGTTCTATGGAAGCAGGGCCACCTGCAGGGGACAGCAGAGCCTCTGTCTTCTGGGAGGAGGCAGGAAGCCAGGTGGAGACACAGAAACCAGTAAGGGTAGATCCAAAAGAAACTGCCACTTGCCAGCCCCTTCGGGCCCTGCCTGACACAGGCCCTGCGCAGTAGCAGCTAATGCTTCCTGCAGAGCATGTGACACGAGAAACTTGATGAGTTGTCCACCTCAGCTCGCTTTTCTCCATTGAGATGGGCACCCTGAGTTCTCAGAGAAGCCACCAAGCCAAACCCTATCACAGCTGCCACATGGCTTACCACCCCAGGTACCAGGGACCCACCAGCCCATTCTGCTGGGCTTGCAGGGCACCAGGTGACACTGATCAGTGATTCGCAATGAAGGCAGCACCCATGAGTGCACACACAGGGCACTGGGTCACTAGGAGGAAATTGGACAGAGGTGTACAGTGGGATCCTCGTGCTCTGCTGCAGGCTTTTCTGTATGTTATTATTTTACTGTTAAAAGCTCATAAAGGAAAATCTAACAAATCAGTACTGATAACAGGAAATACAAAATATCCATGAGTCCACAATGACATAAATTATCAAACTAATAAATGGAGAACCAGGGATACATTGCCTGAGGAAGAACCCTCACACCCACACAGATGCCCTTCCAGGGCAGAGCCCCAGGCCCCATGTATGGGCTGCACACAGGGACAACCTCCTAGAGCATAGGATAGGAGGGGAGTTGCTGGTGTGGAGAAGATGACAGCATGGCCTCCGCCAGGTGCCGAGCAAAGGCCTAGGGGGATGAGTTGTGTGGGTGGTGGCACACAGGGACTGTGTGTGGAGAAGCCTTCATCTGGGTGGTCTTCCTCCCCTTGCCTGTGCAACTGTGAGAAAAACAACCCACAAGCCCCAGTAGACAGGCACCCCATGTAAATGCCTAGCACTGCTTAAATCCATACAGGCCACTAAAAACAAGGCAAGCCTGAGAAACTGCCACAGCCTCCAGGAGCCTAAGGTGATGTGACAACCAAGTGTCATCTGGGGTCCTGGGTCGGAAGGGTTATCAGAAGAGCTGAGGAGCAGGATCAGTGACAACTCTATCAGCGAGCCTGACCCCTGAGCCACATTAACGCACAGTGATGGTACTATCTGGGGGATGGAAATTCAATTCATGTACTTGGCACTTTTTCTATAAATCTATAACTGCTCTAAAAGATAAAAAGCATTTTAAGAAGTAGGAACTTGCAGTTGTGCCCTTTCTGCCCCTCAACTTCTCACTGAGCTGCAGAGAGGCCCTGAGGGTCTGTGCCCCAATCTTCTAGCACTAAGCTTGTTTTTCTGTTTATGTTTTAATGACTGTGTCACCCATAAGACATGGACCTGCCATGAAGGGGAGGCCAAGAAACAACCCCAGCCGCCCTCCTGTGGGTCACTGTAGGCTGGTTCTGACAGGAAGCTGTGATTGGAGGAACACCTATCCCCCATGTGGAGGTAGGACCCAGGAGCAGCACACATGAGCATGTTGAGATGGATGCTTAGGGTGGCCTGGACATGGCTGCAGTAGTGGGAGGACACTCAGGGAAGCCTGGACACAGCTACAGCAGTGGGAGCCTACTGGGTCCTGCTGGGGTGGGAGGGCACAAGACACAGTGGGCACAGGTGGGCCTTGGGACTCTGAGCTGCAATCCAGGCTGTGGAGCACAGAATTGTCACCAAAAGGCTGGGACCTGTGTCCCCACGAGCTCCACCATGTACAGCACCACCTGCTATCAGGGACCCTGGGACCACACAGCAACTTAAGTAGCAGCTGATGCTTCCTGCAAAGCCAGCAGCACAAGAAACTTGTGGATCCCCAAAATATGATGAATAAACAAGGCTTTAGACAAGGGCAAATACACTGTGGTTCCATTTACAGAGAGTTCTAGAACAAGCAGAACTGGTATGGCCCACCATAGCAGCTGCTTGGGCATGGTAGATCAGGGTGGGTGTTGTTGGAGTGGGGTGGGGGCGCTAAGAGCAGCCATCCACCACCAGGACTCTGGGGGTGGGACCCTTCCTATAGCGGGACCCTTAGCTCATGCCCCCAGGGCTCATGGGCCCCAATCTTTCCAGCAAAAGCCAGAGCCACTCTGGCTGGCTGCAGGCTTCTCACGGATGTTCTGGGAAGGAAAGGGTCACCACGGACCCACCTGCTCCTGTTTTCTTTGCTCGGATCCTGTGGAATCTCAGCAGCTGTGCTGCCTGCACAAGGCGTGTCATTGTTCTCTGCTTCAGTGTGGCGGACTACGCATCCTCTAAAAACATAAACAGCCAGAACCCTGCTGGGGTGGGGCCATGCCAGGCTGGTGTGCTGGGTCTCTGCGGGCACGACCAGGAGGCAGCGGCTCCTCTGGGAGACAGGACCATGCAGCCATGACCTGCAGGTCCTCGAGTGCCTTTTGGCGGTGATGAGGTCCTCATGTGCAATGCCTGGGCATTATGACCTGCGGCAGGGGGTGGAGGGGTAACTGAGAGCAGTGGCTCTAGACAGGTCTTGCTCTTTGCAGCAAGACATGTCTCTCTGGGACCTTGTGGGTGGCTGTCAGCAAAGGCCCATGAGGAGACATCAGAGGATGGTTCCCATATAGCACCTGAGTCTGCTTCTGGAATGTTCACCCTCCAATAATAACAGTGAGGACCGAGGCCGACCTGTGTGAGAGGCTGGGCAGCAGGCGAGACACATGGCACCCAGGGCTGTGCTGCCTTCCTCAGGGTCACTCCCTGTCCCTCAGGGACGTCCCAGTTGGGAGACCACAAACACTGTCCTGACTGTGGGACTACACCCCAAGAGGCCACATAGCTCAGACATGACAGGGACAATGAGCCCTGATGCAGTTCTGACTGCAGCTGTAGGGGATGGCTCCAGGTACAAGTAGCCCTGGCTACTCGCCATGAGGTCTGCAGCTGCTCAGCTTTGGTCACTTGTAACACCCTGCAGCTCAGGCATCTGTGGGCTTGAACAAGACATGGCTGGGCAGACTCCTGGGAAAGGTGAGGAGAACAAACCCCCATGTGCAGAGCTGGCCCAGCCTGCTAGGGGCCCTTGCTGACCTTGATGGTCAGCCTACACGCCATGTGTATTTGTGGGGGAAAAGGTGTCTGCAGGTGTAGTAACATCCCTTGACCACCAAAGGTGGAGGGAAATGGCACCTGGCTCAGTGACTGCCCCCAAGTGGACCTCCTTTGCTTTTACTTCTGGCTTGTACCCTGGGTCTCTGATGGGAAAATCCACAGTGCAAGGCCCAGCCCATCTGCCAGGGCAGCCACACACTGTCAAGAAAAGACTCTGCATAGAACATCCTGGATGTGGACCTTGGTGTCAAGCAAGGGCTTTGGTGACTCATCCCCTTGGGTGTGAGACCCAAAAAGCACTGTGTAGCCTGGAGCACCTATACTGACTGTTAACTAGCCCTGCCCACAGCATACTCTCTATGCACAAGCATCCCACAGTCCAGGGTGGATGCCAAGTCCTCCCTAGCTGTTCCCACCTTGGAATTGACACAGACCCATGGACAGGCTGATGCCTGAGGCCAGGGAGGAAGCCCATGACCTGCGGCCTATGGTGGGGAACAGCAGCCACCTGCTCCAGGTCAGCGAGGGCCACACAAGAGCCACATTGTGGTCTGGCCTGGGTCATATGTCTGGCTCTACGGTGAGCTGGAGCCAGGCAGGGGGCGTCCAGAGCAGGGGACAGGCCCAAGGAGACATGCAGTGAATGCTGCACAGTGTCAGGTCAGTGGAGCTGCCTTTGGCCAAGGCAGAAACATGACTGAACATGTTTCAGAGGCGCAAATCACTTTGATGGCCACTCTAGAAGGAAAACACCAACTGAGGTCTCATTAACTTTGACGAAACTATTTTAGCTACTTAGAGAGTAATTAAATATAGCACAGATGGATCCTTCAAAAATGACAGCCACCATCCACAGTAGAAATAGGAAATCCATTAGCTTCTCTGTTGGAGCAGGGGCAAGGGAGCACCGTGCTTCCCTCCTGACTGACTGTCACTCAGCGCTGAGCCGGCCGCCCTCTGCCACCCTGGGGGCTTCTAATCATGGCCCTGGAGAGAGCTGGGAGCTTTTAAAAGTTTCCTTAATTTTTACAGGTTATATTTTTAGGATGAAAAGTTATGAAAAAGCACACTGAAACCTCACCTGCACCACAGCTATAGTGGAGAAGAGCTGCAGGTGCCCCTGGGGCTGGACAGCCTGCTGAGCTGCTGAGGCCACCAGGCCTGCGTCCAGATGTGGCCCGGCCAGCACAGGAAGCAGTGGCACTCTCAGGCCAGACCCACATAGCCCTGCGACACAGCTGGCCTCCGTGACCACCACCCAGAGCCATGGACTCCACTTCTCTGGGTGTCTCTGACTTCAGGGAAAGTGTCTTCTCTCATGACCCATGTTTGCCAAGTGCCTGCTTCAAAGGTGGTGAGTGGAGGCTCTGCCACCTCGGCCCTGGGCCTTGGCCACGTCTCAGGGGCTACCTGGAGGCAATAGAGATAATGTCAAGGACAAAGCCTGCTCTTTTCAGCAGTAATGCCTCAGGGTCGTGGCATTCAGGGCAG